AGATTCCTCAAAAGACTGAAAAAAAGACCGTATGATCCAGCAATTCCACTTCTGGGTATATATCCAGAGACAATGCTAATTCAAAAAGATACATGCACCCCAATGTTCATAGCAGCACTGTATACAATAGCCCAGACATGGAAGCAATCTAAATGTCCATCAACAGATGACTGGATAAAGAAGTTGTGATATATTTATACTAATGGAATACTACTCATCCATAAAAAAGAATAAAATAATGTCATGTGCAACATCATGGATGGACCTAGATTTCTTCATTCTAAGTGAAGTAAGCCAGAAAGAGAAAGAAAAATACCATATGATATCATGCATACGTGGAATCTAAAAAAGGGGGGGTGGGGAAGGACACTATGAACTCATCTACAAAACAGAAACAGACTAGCAGATATAGTAAACAATCTTATGGTTCCCGGGGAAAGGAGGTGGGAAGGGATAAATTTGAGAGTTTGAGATTTGTAAATGTTAGCCACTATACACAAAAACAGATTTTAAAAATTTCTTCTGTATAGCACAGGGAAGATATTCAATATCTTATAATAACCTTTAATGAAAATGAATATGAAAATGAATATATGTATGTATATGTGTGACTGGAATATTGTGCTGTACATCAGAAACTGACACATTATAACTGACTGTACTTCAATAATAATTTTAAAATAAATAAGTAAATAAACTACTTTTGCCATAGATAGAAGAGACAATTTTCTAACAAGATTTTTACATTCTTCTCTATATATTCTTACTAAACGTATTTTCTCCCTGTCATTTTTCACTTATTATTTCAGCTAAAAGAGATTTTTTACTATTATTATTAATTATACAATTTAGTTTTCATTTATTCCTTTCCATTTATTTAAGCTTACACCATTCATACATTCTATTTCTTTTTAATCTGTAAACTTAATCTCATAATCCAAATTCTCTGTATATTTTCTGTATCTAAAATAGTATCCATTGTAATGCTCTTGGTTAAATGGCTTATTTCTAAAGTTACAAGAAAGAAATTGTGATTAAAAAAAAAACTGGCCCACAAATATTCTACTCATATCAGTATAAATTCTTTTTCTTCTGTTTATTTTCATAAGGAATTTCAATCGCCCTTGCCTGAATATCCATCCTTGCTTTTCAGTTTTTTATAGTATATTCTACTTAAGGAGAATCTGAGACTTAAACTTTTCTGGGATGCTATAAATATTCTACTTGTGCGAAGTATGTATTCAAATAATTGTTTCTTTATTATTTCATTCATATGAGTAATATTCTCAGTAAGAGGTATGACAAACAAATAATTACATGGATGCAGACTTCATCCAAAGAATGCAAAGTAAAATTGTGAATTTTACTCAAAATTTACTCTCTTTCATGCCAGTAATAAGTTTTTTTTTTAACCACTTAGCATTGCTCCAGATAAAGTTGAAAAGTTTCAAATTCCATTTTGAGAGGAAAAAAATTCTTATAAATGAATTCTGCAGCTGCCTGCCATACAAATGTCTTTAAAAAAAACTTTGGAGTTCTGTTTCTGTTGAAAATTTACCTTCCCAACATGAACTTCCCCATGTCAAACTGCCCTTGGTTGCTTCTGAAAGTAGCACTAATATGTACTCCACAACAGATCTTGCATGTGGATCTTTGGGCCCAAACTCCTGGTCAAGGCACACTTTGCCTTTTTTTTTCTCCTGATCCATGTTGTAAGACCACCATGATGCAGGAGCAGCTACATTCCACGGACGATGGCCTTTGCCAACACCCAACTGACCTACGAGACAGACCCTTCCTAATACTCCATGATACAGCTAAGCTCAGACTGCAGCTTTTAACAAAACTATGGTAGTTTCTCTGATGCAAGGTACCCAGTGGCTGGGTATCTCATAAACGTTACTAGATGTGGCTATCCTTATAATTTAGTCTCAACTTGCCTTCACGGTTTTTATACGGTGCCCCCAGCCAGCCTGAACACAGTAAGGGTCAGGCTATTCTAACCCTAGGAATGCTCTGCATATAACTGTGTCTAAGATCCCAGATCACTTAAGACAAGTTGAGAAAGAAAAATATTTACCTTTCTTCAAGTCTAAGGTCGTAAGAGTATCTCCTCTTGCTCAATGATGGCTGAAGAAGACATGTCTCCTTCACAAGAAAGTCTAGTCCTCAATCACAGGAGTGTGATCTTGCCTTGCCATCCCAACAGAACAATGAGGCTAAAACGTGATAATGCAATGAAAGACATCCCAGCGTCCATCTTCACTCACATAACTTACAGAACACAACCTGTCTAGTCCAGGTGGAGCTGCAGCAAACCCAGTCCTGTTCTCTTTGACAGTTTTTCCTCTAGTATGATGTCAAGATTCTGTCAGGATGTCCTTCCTTCCGTTTTCACCAGCTCAGTGTGTCCCATGCAAAAACAAAACTTAACTACCACAAATTACTTGAGGAAGACCATTTGCGGCTTCCCAAGGTCACGCAAGAGGTCTGTCCGCAGGATACTCTAAATTCATAACCCTGGACACCCGCTAAAACCCACAAAGTCTCAGAGGCATGGTCTGGGCTTGAAAACACTGTGTCACCACACAGAGAATTTAGCAGCAATGTCCTCGGCAGGCAGATCCACAGACCCAGAGACGGCTCAGAGATAAGCTGTGTCTCTATTCCAGCAAGCAGAAACGCTGGCTACTCTTTTTATTTAAGTTTCTTCAGCTTCGACTGTCCAAAGTTTCAAACAGCAGTAGGGCCATGTCCTCAACCAGTGTTCCCAGTGATACAAGATGCCGGGTAGGCTGAAAGAATACAGGGCTGGCAAGCTCCTCTGGAGGCTGGAAAACTTGTGTTCTTGCCTTAGCGCTAGATGAACTGTTATTTAAATCGCCGTTCCATCGGTTAATATTTATTAGTACTTAGGTTTCTGACCTTTCAGAGTTGAGCCCCAACAAGGGTCCTCCTGTCCAGTGTCGCTGGAGCTAATGGAACGAGTTTGGTTCTGAAGAAAAGAAAAGCTTTCTTCTTCGGCCAGAGACTGGAGACGCCCTAGGACGTTCTAGAAAACGCGCTCTCCGGGCCGACGGTGGACAGGGTCACTTTACAGTGTTCTCGAGAGGGTGGAGCTCTCGCGGGATAGGGTGGGGTTCTCGTCAGCTGGGAGGAGGCGGAGCTCTCGCGGGATGGGCGCAGGCGTGTTGCTCCCGCCTCTACGTCGCAGTGGCGGGAGGGGGGCGCGGGGGCCGGGGAGGGGGCCGGGATAGGGGGGCTTTGCTCAGCCTCTCTACACTTGGCCCGCTGCCACCACAGCGGCGTCCTTGAACAGAGGCGTCAGGAGCAGCGGTTCTGCACTAGGAACTGGTCTGAGGTGCAGGTGCAGGGTCTCTGCACACAGCACCCTGTGTGCAAGTGAAAGTAAACTAAGCACAAAGGGAGAGGAAAAGGTTGGATTTTATTTTTATTACCCAGATTCTATCTTTATTTCCTAGGAATTGTTAATGGGCTTTGCTGGTGACACTTATAAACAAAGGTAATAAAGACTTGAGGATGTCTGGTAGTGAAACAGAATGGCATTTTAGTTTCTAGTGCAATGATAATAAAATTTACCCCCAAGAGACACATAAATGTCCCTTTTAATAATTAAAACTCTTCTTCATTAAGTAGCTAGGCGGTCTAAGCTTAGTCTGAAGGCTTTATAATTAGAAGGAGAGACAGAATGGCAATACTTAAACAGCCAGAAATTTACATGGGAGAAATTGAATTGTGGGCATAGAAATGTGTGGTTAGGATGGATACCTTCCGTTTAAGAGGATATCATTTTGATGAGCATTTCAAAGTCAAGAACCTAATCAGTTCCCTTCAGCGATCTCTCTGGGCCTGGCTGGAGGAACCCATATGCAAGTGCTTCAACCTGAGACACTGAGTATTCTGTTTAATAACGTTAAAGATTGCCCCAATGGGATGTAGCATATCTCTAATGAGGATGTTTTTACTCCAAATTGTTTGTCAGTTTCCCTCATCTGACAAGAAAAAAGGCTGAGTGAGGAAGGCAAAGAGTAAGGTGGAGCACAGCACAGGGGTGCCAGGGGCACACCCTTCCTCTGCCTGCACCCTCTGCCCTGGGGCTTGGCATGGCCCGTTCTGTCTGGTCGTTTGAGTTTCAGCTCAGATGTCCTCCACGAAGAAGGACTTCTTAAACCATTCTGTGAGTGGCAGCCTTGAAGATGGCTTCTCATTGTTACAGTCTTCAAGGAAGGAAAGGAAATTATTTTTAAATGTATCACCAAAGGAAAAAAAAATTGACAACAGTTAAAAAATATTCCCCCTCTTTTGTGCAGAGGAAAGTCATTTTTTATCAGAGTCGTTCTTAGAAACGTATGGCTTCAAGCAAAATTTCAGGAAGGAATTCCCATATTGTTTGTGAGGTAAAACACAAAAGCAAACAGAACAAAACAAACATTTATCACTTCCTACCTCCTAAGCATTATAAATGTAACCAAAGAAGCGAGCCAGAACTGTAACACCACTTCTGTTTTCAATCTGCTTGCCAGGGCATTTTTGTATTTTCACTCATGCTGTTTAGAAACTTTGAGGAATTAGTGAGGAATTCAAATATACTAAGTGTGTAATTTGGGCAAGAAGCAGTATTGACTGCTTGCTTTGTACAAGGCAACAGAGTAAGCACCTTTCTGGAGGGAGTTAGTGAAGAGAAACAGACCCCTAAAATGCTTATCATACAACTGGGAAGGGAACAAGGAGGAAACGAAGGAGGAAAAGAAATCACCATTTAATGTGCATCTGCAAAGCCCTGTGATGTGTACTTTGTGTATTGTACTGTTCTAAGGTCTTGCTGCAAACAATAAAAACTGATTCTGGCATGTTTAAACAAAAAAGAAATTTACAGCTAGCCTACTAAATCTAAGAAATATGGGAACCAGGTCTGGGAAATGATAAGAAATCAAGGAAATCTAAGCAGAGGAAACTGAGCTCAGAAATACTCTGGTGGGGAGGGTATATAGTTCAGTGGTAGAGCACATGCTTCACATGCATGAGGTCCTGGGTTCAATCCCCAGTACCTTCTCTAAAAATAAGTAAAAAAACAAACCTAATTATCTCCCCTCTAGAGAAAAAAAAGAAGAAGAAGAAAAAGAAAGAAAGGAATAGTCTGATTAAGATTATGCCTCTAAGACCCCTTACAGCAGTACTGAGACTACTGGAAACTCTCCACCCCACTGGGCACTTACCCAGAAAATAATCTTTGTTCCCTGCATCACTGCATCACTCCTTAGATTCAAAGTTCCTGTTGGGAGTGTGTTTGGACAAGTTTGGGTCATGTGCTCACTCCTAGCTGTCGAGTAGGAAATGGTCCCGTTTACCTTACCAGGGTTTGGCAGAACTCTGCCCCCTACCAACAATGAGTTATTGGTGAATGATTTTGAAATGGACAGAAGATTTGGATGTCAGGCAGCCAACAAAATAGCAAGCATTCACTGCTGTCTACCACTTTAGTTTTCTAATATCTATATGCACCACTCATCCTTCATGATAAAACAAATATTTACATGTCAAAATAAATCTTCCTGCTTAGTATAATACAATGACTACCATTACCAATACCATCTAGAGTAGAGAATGTACTCATTTTCCCAAAAGGAAGTGTCCCAAGGTGTCAAGAGCTGCTGCATTCAGCTGCAAATCAAAGATCTCTTATTGATATTCATTCTTCCTCTAGTGATGATATAATCTCGTCTTTCTATAATGTAGCTATGGACTAATTTATAAAGCAAACCACCAACATATTCCATACACAACAATGCAATAGAAAAGAAAAAGAGAAAAGATTCCTTGAAATACATGGCAAAACAAAGAAGTAAACACAATTAAAGGTTACAGTAGTCAAATCCGTAACTTTTCACAAGTTTGGGTGATATGTATGACTTCCCTCTTCCACTCCTACTTCATCTTCCATTTGCTCTCAGACAGCATCTTGATTGGTCCTTCCAACAGAGCAATGTAGTGGTCTTCATTGATAAAACAGCTGAGCAGATGTATAACTTAGATTCCACCCATACTTCTCCCTGTCAGCGTTACATAGCGACAACCTTACATGCCCCTGATAGCCAAAATCAGTGACTCCAAACAACTTCTCCTAACAATGACCAGGCCCCTTCACCCTATTTGTCTCTGTTCAGTAGCATCTAGGTCTCGAAGTAGCCAGGTATCAGTCTCAACTTTTAATTTTCATAGAACTGTTGTAGCCCTGTCGGAGCATTATTCACTTGGATTCTAAAATCTTAAATGCACCAGAGCTCAGGTGTCAATGGGCACTTCTACCTCTACTCTTGTTTCCCAGACCTAAGTGTTCTGTCTATTTGGGAGCAAATTTGTCTTAAAATATATGTCTGGACAAAATCAATTTATGAAAAATGTTTTAGCGATATTTAAAACATTTTAGATCCCTCAGTTTTGATCCCTAGGTTTCTTATGTAGCATTAAATATATCATAGAGTGTACTACAAATATTGTTTGTTAGTACCATTGAAACTTGTGTTGCACAAGAATGAATAGGAGATGAAAAGAATGAATGGGAATAATAAGACTCTCCAGGAGACTCTAGAGAGGCAAGAAAACTAGTCCTTGGAAAAGCATGTTACACTCATTTATGAGGATAATTGAAAGGACACAAGTTTGCCTGAGTGTGGCTCATTTTCCCTGTGTCAAATTTTATGATTTAATTCATTTATGTCTGTCATACTCATGATTAAATTTGTAAAATGTTTTTTGAGCACTAGTCACATGCTATGGGCTCTTCCCCCAACCAGTCTTATTCAGCACTTTTATCAGTAACTTGAATGAAGAGATAGCAGTAGGCTTATCAAAAGTAGAGATGGCAAAAGCTTTGAATGCAAAACATTTAATGGTAGAATCAGCATTCCAAACTGTCAAAATAAGTTGTAATAATGAGCCAAACTTATCAGTTTAATAGAGATACAAGTTAAATCCTTATGTTCAAATTAGCAATTTAGTTCAAAATGCGTAAGTACAGAATTGGAGCATCATATTTTAAACATATTGTATTAAAAACAACCAAAACAAAACACTGGGACTTGAGTTGGCTGCAAGTATGGTGAGAGAAGAACATGGTAAGGCCGCCAAGCAGATGATGACATCTGGGCTACAGTGGATGTGCAGTGCCCAAGAGAAGGGCAGCAGGGACCCCGTACTGTCTGCTTTGGTCAGGCCATAACCTACATGTAGCATGCAGTGTTCATTTCTGGATCTTCAAGACAAAATGTAGGAGAAACATGGACAGACTAAGAGAGAAAACCTGGTGGAAGAAAGGATCTGGAGACAGTGTCATTTGAGGAACAAGGGAAGAAAGCCGAAATGTCTGGATAAAAGGGGTATGGCTTTCAAACATTTGAAGGGATGTCAGGAGGAAGTTGTTTGAAATTTATGACCCATCACTCCTGATAACAAATGTTTAGTCAGGGTCTGACAGGAAAACTGTCTCCATGCCTCAACCATGTGGCATTCCAATATAGTTGCTGGCAGGCAGATCCTTGCACAGAACATACTTTTACAAAGAATGTCAAGGCTGCATCTCTGGAGCATCCCTGAAGTTTGATCCTTCCCATCTGTAAACATGCCCTGGATGAAACATCAAAAACATCGGAGAAATCTTTCCCTCTATTTCTACTTCATTCTGAAATGACTACAGGAAGGAGCCTTCAAAATGGGGCCAGCTAAGTAGAACTGGAATGAGACATATTTTTCTCTGATCTCTTTGGAAAAAGATACTGAAAGAACCAAATCTCTCTACAACATTAAGGACTTCATTTATTCATTCATAAAAATACACTGAGCACTGACTCTGGGCCAGTGTGTTGAGAACATTTAGATAAAAGATATCATCTTTGTCCCCAAGGAACTCACAGTCTAGTGGTGATATGTGTAAACAGATGATTGTAATGAAACTTGGTGAAATGCTACAATTATGAATATTTTCCTAGGTAGATCTTATCATTCCCTACTTGACTCTAATATTAATAAATTATTTTTTTTCAAGTTTTCTATACTTACTCTAAATCTTCTGGGGATTAAAAGATGAATACTTATTAAGGAAGATAATTCCCTTCCTAATTAATGGAGGTTATTTACTATTAGAGACAGTTGGAGGACCTGGATCCTTCCCAAGACCTAAGGATACATGCAAAACTCTACTTACAGTTATTATGTTAGTATTCCACAACTCTGATCAAAGTTATCAGCCAGCACATCTTCCTGGAGTCATAGTATATATAATATCTAATTCTCTCATCTACCTATAGGAATCTATAACTGCTATGCAGGATGATGCATTTGGTGTTTGGGATTTTAAACTATGTAAATGTGTCTTTGACTCTAAACACTTATAAACTCATAACATCATAAAACACAAAGATGCCTTTCCATTTAACTTTTTTCATAATTGAAATTTTTGTTCCATGATCAGACCACAGATATTATGAAACTATTAGTAAATAATTCTTAATATTGAAAATTTTTAAATTCATGAGTTTTAATTATAACAATTTTTCCAATGACTTTCCATCTTAAAATCTGTAGGCAAATTGTTCTTAAGTAGAGGATCTCAAATACCAATATTTTTGAATATTTATAAGCTATTAGGCTTAATTTCCTCCAACTTATAATTTAATACATATATATACCACACGCTCAAAAATTTCCAGTTTTCCACAAAACAGTATTAAAGTAGTAAGGGAAACTGTACTACCACTACCAAAGGTGTCACAGTTCTAATGGAAGAGCTGAGGATAGGAAGTAGGCATTTTTGAGAACAATTCTATTTTAAAAAATGGGTTAAAACAGTAAGTCATTTAAAATATTTGTCATGTTGAATACATGATTATGACATCAAATTGCTATTTAGTTACATTTCATAGTATAGGCTATTAAAACTACTTCTACAGCCTATGGAATGCTAAGTTGACAAAAAGGACCCTAGTCACGTTTTTTTTAACCTTT